CAATATTATAAACGTATAGAGAGACATGACGACTTAACCTAACCCGACCCACAGATCTAGTGATATATGTTGCCTACAGACATGATAACCCAACCAGACCCGACCCACACATATAGAACTATTCATCCCTGAGACACTGCAAGACACACATGGCAACCCAACCTAACCCAACTCAGCGATATAGAACTGATGAATAGTAGTCAGTTACAGCTAGACAAACGTGACGACTCAACCTAACCCGACCCAGAAATCTAGTGGAATATATGTTGACTACAGACATGATAACCCAACCTTACCCAACCTTACCCGACCTAGAGATTTAATGATATATGTTGTCTACAGATAGGATAACCCAACCTAACCCGACTCACACATATACAGTTGTTGATCACTAATAAGACAGTGCACGACACACATGACAACTCAACCCAACCCGCCCCAGAGATTTAGTGATATATGTTGACTACAGACATGATAAACCAACCTGACCCGACCCAGAGATGTAGAATTGTTGATCACTAGCCAAACACAGCCAGACAGACATGACGACTCAACCTAACCCGCACGCTATAAGGGATGAGACGTTCTAGGAATTGATAAGTGCCTTGCTGTTGTCAAAATTCCTAAGGAGTCACTATTTGCCATCCTCTGGAGGTTTTCACTAATTCTGACTAATTTCATTGCACTTCTCGGCTGATTCACTGCTAAAAGTAACGAATATGTCACTAATTACTGACTTCTTGGATAAAAAAATCAGTTACTCCTCTATAAACTTTTGTTTGGCGTGTTCCGTTTCACATAATAATGGCTACATCTGATCAAAAAGAAGCATTATACCACCGACGACTTATACACCAGATGAAAGTTATTTGTGTTTTTGATATCGAGTCTTTTTCTTTGCAGTAGGAGTTATAAATATCGTCGTCAAAACTCTTGACAAGACTACTTTCGTCCCGGAGCACTTCATCATCCTCAGCTTTTCAACGATAACTTGCACATAATCTGATTCACAGTATTTGACTCTAGTGCCTATTAAAGAAAAGTCTCAACATCATGCCAAAGTTTTTCGTATAAATCGACCAAAACTTACTACTGCAAAGAAGCAGAGACCTGCACGGGTTAAGAAAACCTAACCTGAACCCGACCCGACTGCCAAAATGCCGAGCCGCACCCGACCCGATCCGATAACATCTGAACCCGAACCCGACTCGACCCGATCAAAACAATCTCACTAGAAAAGTGTGTTTGAGAAAGAATATAGACTTGCCTTGTTAGACAAAAGTTTTTCGGTGCATATTGTAGAATCTCGTAGTTCAAAAAAATATTTTTGAACGACTTCTGATTGGTCACTTTGTCTAAAAGGTTAATGTATTGAAAATTCCTCAGTACACTTTGTCAATAGATTATCTTAACCGAGATGATGACGACATTCTTTTTCTCATTGGTCAGTGAGGTCAGTATCACCTAATACTAAGATAGCAAGTAGAGAGCATTATAGTAAAGTCTTCTATGTACGGATGTTTAAAACAGTACATTGAAAAAAAGCAGTAAGGGATGTATTGTCATTGATTGCACTCTCTTATGTACAAAGAAAGCAATCATTAATCGACTTAGTGAATGCAGTTGTTCTGAAACAAGTCTTTCAACTGGAAATTCCAGTAGAGATAACTTTCAATCAGTAATACAAAGCTAAAAATATTATTTATATTTTAAATTGCGTCGCCAAATATCCAACCCGAACCCGACCGGACAACATCTTAACCCGAACCCTAGGGTCGGGTCGGATTGCAGGCCTCTACAAAGGAGTAACCCACTTGTTGAGGGTTGTCTAGTCATATAAGGAGATGATATTGAAGTCCCAGGAATCTGAGAAATCCCGATTCGTACTTCGAACATCTGTGGACATATTGAGCACAATTTTCAAGAACTACCGAGCAGCCGGAAATATTGGGCTGTGGCTGACTGTCACTTTTCCCTCTCTCTCCCTCTCCCACAGCAGAATGCGGTGTGCACTCCAGCTACTGTTTAAATGGCTGCACTAAATCCGGGATATCAAAACTTCAGGATGTCAAGAATTTACTACACACACTATGATATATATATATATATATATATGTGTATACAAATAGGAATATCAGGATTTCAGAACTATATTACACACACACTATGGTATATATATACCAAACCACACGCAACATTTTTTCTTTCCTCACCCTATAGTCTACTGTATGAATACGCAGGCTTGCACGAAGCAATCTCAATGACAATTTCTTTTTATCTTTCCTTCCACTGTACAATACACACACTGGACTACTACAAGAATTTTTCTCTTCTTCACGTCAGAATAGACAGTGCATATACGTCAAACATTTCAGAAATCCATGACCACTATGGACTTCAATATCATACTATACATATACTAAACAACTATGTGCTGGTTTCACTCACTTAAGTATGTCTGTTTTAACTGTGAATGTGCTAATATCATATCGTTTTCCGTGTTGAATTGCGTCATTAATAAGATCCAAATGAACTTTTCTCAGAGATTCAACATTGACTATTTGTCGAAATAATTGTGAAATACTATTTGATTATGGCAGTTTTCAATGGTTTTCGTTATTATTTGATCATTCACTATACTAGCCATCAAATGTACATCTTGTGCGGTCAAATTTTCATGTGAAATAATCATCGACAAAAATGCACAAGATAACGAAAAATATAGTGATGAACGAATATCCGAATAGGTTTCTTTTTTTTAAATTTTTCAATAACATTTTTTCCACAATCAACTGCAATATTGTTGGTAAATTAACAGTTTTCAACGTTTCAATGTAATATCAACCAGCCAGTTCAATAATGGTGACATTGATCTTTCGACAGGATTATATCGACTATTACCAGTTGTGTAACTGTTTAAAATCATAGCATCTAGTTTTAATTTTTTCCATAATTCACGATAGTTAAATATATTGCACGGACTTTTGCCCGACCAATCAGATCCATTATCACTTGTTAATGTTGCAACAGATTTACCGAGTCGAATTAATGGTTGCATTACAGATTCAAGATTATAAATGTGCATTGAACTGGTTGATTAAAAATATTGAGTACAAAATGTACGCAGATGCATATTGCTATTAGCGGAATAATGTATCTGTTCACGTTTTATATTATCAAACTTTGAAAAAAAATACCAAATTTCAATTGATTCGAAGAAAAATTAACTTCATGCTGAAATAAGACGGACCTCAGGGAAGCCGTCGAAAATAAGTCTCCGCGTACATATAGATCAATATCATTCTCTTTTCTTTTTCTTCCTCTCGTTTTGCTGAACTCTATTTTTCTGTTTATATATCTCAGTTACACATATACATGTATTTATATATCCGTTTCAAACCAAATAATCAACTTCAGATGCAGATTTTCTTCTTTTCAATGAAAGCAAACGATACACTAAAAATTTTCATGCTTTTCTCACAAGTTAACTAATTAAAAAGACACCCTTTCCCAAATTCTGAACGAATGTAAAGCAGTCGGATTTTAAGATAGACTATTTTTCCTATGACTAGACTTGACTTGTCTATGACTAGACTTGACTTGACTTGTCTATGACTAGACTTGACTTGTCTATGACTAGACTTGACTTGTCTATGACTAGACTTGACTTGTCTATGACTAGACTTGACTTGTCTATGACTAGACTTGACTTGTCTATGACTAG